ACTTGTAGCCGGAGAGGAAGACCCAGACCTAACAGAGTCAGCTGATAACCAGCTCCATGGTATCGGTTATCCAGGACAGCCAATGTTACACTCACTGAAGCCAGATAACCCCAAGAGAGCCAGAACAAGCTGAACTCGCTTTGCGGTACAGGCCTTTCATTATTGTATTCATAACATTGCCTTGTGTGAAAATACTGATCTTTCATCAAAATATACCAGACACAGAATTTATGCCACATGGGCTACAGTAATGGAAAAAGTCATATTAAAGATACAGTGTAAATAGGCAGATTCAAACTGTGTCTAAAACAATTTCAGGAGTTTTATTGATCAACCACTCAGGAAATTTTCATTGAACAACCTGGAACACATATTAACAGTGTGAGCTGTTTCCCATTAAAACAGAAGTTTTTTTCTGTAGTTTCAGTGTAAAATTATCCACAATTTTCATAAAATCCAGAGACAGGTACTTCACTGGCCTAATAGGCAGGTTTTCAGCCTGTGATTATGAAGAATTTGAATTTATTACACTTTTCATGTTGATCTTGTAAGCTCTCAATCATTTGGGGTCATTTTTTCAACCCCATGCCTGCTGGCTCATCTCTGATGTTGCTCAGAAAGTCATGTATACTGACAATGAATTAAAAGCCTAAAGTTCTTTCCAGACATGCACTGCAACTTTACTTATCTAGAAATTTTCCAGAAGAGCTGAATATGAGCGTGCAAATGTCTGAATCAGTTGGCATGGACAAACAAACTCCCTAATGCAGCTCCCTAGTACAAAGTTGGTGTAATGTAAGCCCATGTGTGAATAGAGCAAATTATTGTCTGTCGAATTTGTCTGATGCTGAAATTGTGAGAGAAGTTCAAGGAACAGAAGGCGACTCAGTTGTTTATGACCAGACTGTGTATCCTGCCTCCTGCGAACTTTACCCAGGTTCCAGTAGATGAGAATGGGTCTGACATGGACAGTCTTCTGTCGTGTAATACATGTGTGAAAGGGCATATGAGAAATTGGCCTATGTGTTTCATGACAAGGTCATTCATAGTAACAAATCCACAGAATTACCTACTTTGCATTTTCCCACAACTCTATACGATTTAAGCTCATTGTTTTTTGTATCCAGCCAACAACGTTACTGTTTTGGCTCAGTGACACTGCTCTCATTAGCAGCAGCCCACTCCGTGCTATCTGCCCAACTCCAAACTTTGTTAGCACGCTGACAAAATTAGCGACTAGCCGGTTAACGTGCAATATATAAACCAACAGTGCATGTGTCACCACCCCCCAGCGGTACAAGTTTCAACTAGTGCTACTTTACAATGTTTAAATTCTGTGATTTTATTTACACTTTATAAATTAAGAAATACATTTTCTCACTAACGCAATTACAGTTAAAATTAGCCACAAAACATTTTCTGAAGCAAGATTATGTTTTTATTTTGTGATAAAACCACTAGTATATTTATAAGAGTGACAAGCTGAAACAAGTGAAGAAAAGGCATAATATCAGCAACCTGACACCGTAAAGCCAGTTATACAGCAATACGATATTTTGATTAAAGTTTGCTAATATTAGCCACTAAGGCAATGATCATATCAGACCAAGTAAGGCTGTAGCAGCAAAACTCATGAGTGTACTGAAGTGAGCAAGGGACTGTTTTACTACATACAGTATGTGTTATTCGGAAAAAGTGGTATTTGATAATTTGTTAAGGATCATTTGGTTTGCTTTAATTCTGGAAACGGAAATTTCAGAATTTACCTTTGGCAGTTTGTTAATGCAGCAGCTGAATGTGGTAGCCTTGATGCAGAGCAGGCTTGTATAGTTTCTCACCATTTTCTGTCCATTCCACTGATTAACTTCCCTCCTGCTGGATGCTGGATGCTGATATGGCTTATGAAGTGAGCTGGCTAATACCACCAAGTGAACTTTCCCTTGTACTTCTTCTATGCACACAGACCAGCAAACAATTGAAGTTCCAAATTTCATTCTGCCATTATCAAGCTCACAACAATTTCACAGCACAGCAATCACACTATAATGAACTTCCAGAAGCAATTAAGCCACTTTCCTGTGGCGGCACCTTCATGAATACAAGCAGCCAACTTGCAGCTTCTAATCACAGCCAAGGTGTCACGAAGGCTTTGTTGTTTGCCAGAAATCCCTTCAGGAAGCCTCAGTCAGGCCCTCTAATCAGTGAGTTTCCACCTGACAAAAACTAATGCAACATAATTGGTATATGGTATACCACTGCTTCTCTCCCACTTCAAACTATAAGTTATAACCTCAACCCGAAATATATCCACATCAGCTGAGCTTGCACTGGCTGTAGACAGTACATGTGGAAACAGTATTCACACATCATTTTAAGGTTTCCAGGTGGTCTACCCCTAGGGCCCACATATCACCTCAGTGATTTGTCTTTGTCATAGTCCAAACATAGAATCACTTAACATCCACTCTGTTTTATTTGGGCAACTGAATAAAAAGCAAGTGAATAAAAGAACTGCAACAAAGAAGTGAAATATTGGCTCATAACCAATAATCAAAATCACTGCAACAGCATTTAGAACAGAATCATATTTAATGAGGCTTGTAAAAAAAAATTCACAGCATAACTATGCCTAATAAGAACAATAACAGGGCAATAAAGCAGGTGCTCTGCTGAGACAAGTAAAGAGAGGGTAAAACTCATGTTCACATCATGCTAGCTTGTTCTGGTATTCTAGGTGTCTATTAATGCAAGAAAACAAGGTTTAAGGATACATTTTTATTTGCATTTTTATTTGGACTTAATTCACTTGAGCTCCACTCAGAGTCAACCACAGATTGACAGGCCTGAAAACATCCTGTATCTTGTCAATCCCATTGTTAAAGTTAAAGATTGGGGTATTTCACATGAGATATTTGTGCCTGTGCCTCTTTGATTATGAGGCCAAACTGGATAGCAGTAATATTACAAATGCTCAAGTATCAATCAGATTTCGATCAAAATATGATGCCAGTGGTCGAGCTGAGTTTTTATGTTTCTGTATTTTTCCCTTGAAGTTTAACTTTTATTTTGACTTATTTAGCCAGAAATATTTAATGTTATAAACAAGTAGATATTATTAAGAAAATAAAATTAAAAAAATCTTCAGGGACTTCAGATGAGTGCACTTCTTCCACAAATAACCATTGGTGCCAAAGTGGGCTTTTGACAAACCACTACCAATGTTTCAACATTAACAATATCAGTATCACAGATATTCATCCCAAATTAAAGGTATTAAGTGTTCTCTCCCAGAATTTAATGACATCTCCACTCTCTACCCACACTAATGAAATTCTTCCAGAGTAATAATCCCTTTAAGTCAGGGTGACCCATCATATTGACAGTGCTCACTGGTAATGAACTATTAGGTAGCTGCCCTTAAATTAAATATTAACTCGCTATAAATGTGCAATAAACCTGCAGTTTTACTATTTAGCTGCAGTAAGGACAGAACTACTGCTGGATCACTATTTCACAGTATGCGATCCTCACAAAACAGCATATGCGATTGAGTGCTGATGTGGTACAGTATGCCCCAACATCTAGCACTGCAAGGAGCTTAAAATAAGCACACACTGCACATATTGCCTGACCCAGCTATCATTATTAAAGCGGCTCTGCTTTTGTTGGCTTTTAAGCTTAAATCATTTGAGGTCACACTAGCATGCTTACTGAAAGTTGCTCTAAGTAGCTGTAGCATGCAGATTGAAATGCTACATTCATGCATAATAAAAGACATTTCTCTATTTTCAGTGGCAACTAAATCTTTGCGTGAAATACAGACAGAAAGCCTGTGATCTTCAAACCCTCTCTAAGGATGCTTTGTTATTAAATGACACATGCTAGCTGCAAATATTTTTTGTACCCTGCTGCTAAATTAAAACTTAAATTCTCACCTTGTTGGTGAGAGTCTGCATTAGCAGAGAAAACATTATCTGCACTCTAATAAAAACTTCACACAACAGAAGGAACAGAAAACTGTTCATGGCTTCACGTACAAAAATGAAGAAGCAACAAACCAACAATGCTGGTAAAGACATAACCTGCTTGGCGAGGAACTGAACTGAGATGTACTGTAACTCTTCATTTTCTTACCACTAATACTTCTGTAATTCAACAATTAAGGAAATGAACAGTTTAATTAAAAGGTGAAACCCATGTGAATGGCTTAATTTATGTGACCTGCTGTCAACAAAACAAAGGTACTTCCTTTCAAATTTTCAAAAAGGACAATTAGTAACTGTAATTTAAAATGACAGACTGCTACTGTAGGTGTGCAGTGCTGTATTGATGCACATTTCCTTATAGAAAAAAGTGACTATACACTATACATCATAAAGCTGAAACACTGGTCACAATAGTAAGGAAATCTCAGCCGATTTCTTGTATGGATGAGCAGGATGCATAGAGACAAAACAGTTTACCAATGTCATAGTCTGTGTCACTGTCAACTGAAAGACAAAAATCACTATCTTTGTCTTGGAAATTGGCATTTGTGACAAACCAATATGTCAGTCATGTTAGTTCAGCCATGTTCAGACATTTGATCATAACCAGAATATTCTCCTCCAAGTCTAAAAACAAACATTTACTAAAAGGCCATGAAAATCCATTTTCTCAGTTAACCTCTTGCTTACCACATCAGAGATGAACACATTAATACATCTGTTACTAAATGGGAATCTTTGATTATTTCACATGAGAGCATATTAGTGCTTTTGAACCTGCTTTTCTCACTGTAGTGGCAAAACCACCAGCAAGCTAAAATAGATGTAAACAATTCAGGTTTCAGTCTTTTAACAAAAATCTGCTTTTCAAATGTTGTATTGAAAAGTAAAAGCATTCATCAGGTTTGATGAGTTTCCATTCGCCCAAGGCCAAGCTAGGCGTATATGTACCCCAGAGGTTATTCCAGTTAAGCAAATAACTTGATGAAATAAGGTCACAAAACTTTATCTTACCAGTGCTGAGGTCCTTATACTCCTGGGAGAAATGCTCATTCTGGTGCACCCATTCCCCATTGCATTTGAAGAAGATCTGTAAGGCAGGTGCAGCTCGACAGCGCAGCTTGATGGGGTTGCTCTTGACGATGTAGGCGTCCTGAGGCTCCTGGATGAAGTGCGGCAGGGTGCCCTGCACCGAGGGTTGGGCGTCAGACTGAACATCACCTGTGGCACCTGCAAACCAGCAACTTAGTTATTTCATTTTCCCACTGTAGTTTTTTAAGAAGAACAGAATATTATCTGACAGAAATAAAGGCAAGCCAAGTGCTTTTCAGTTGGATATGCAAATTAGAAGTGAAAAACACTTTCAAGTGCATTTTGATTTACTAACAACAGTAAAATAACAGCTACTTGCAAATTTAAAATGATTGCTCAGTGGACAATGTTTTGAATTCCCCATTCATCAAAAGCTAACATCTTGTAGAAAGGCAAAGTACATACAGAGTACAATTTGTCCCCAATTCGAGGAAAACTGTTCTCCTTAGAGCAATTTGCAGATGAATGAAATCAGAGCAGACCAGAGAGGAATTAGGAAGGGACTGATTACCAAAATTGTGACTGTGGAGTCTGAATTCATCTTATCTCAGCCACAAGGCTCAGATTTAGGTCCAGACAAAAACAGCCTTTGTGCTGTCACCAACATGCCACCATGATTGACTACAATTCACAACAGGTTACCCCTTTCCTTCCAGTTTAGCAACCACCTGGTTAGTTCACCACTATTGTTCATCGTGGCAGTTCATCGATCTAAGTGCCGTTTTGAAAACACGGATCTGACAGATTCTGAGAACCTGACTTAGTATAATGGATATTTTTTATGGTTTGAAGGCAGGTCTGTGCCCCACACAGCATCCTTTACTTGCCTCCTATGGATAAAGCACAGAGAGCTCTGCAGGATGGGACAATAAGGAACAGGATGTTTGTGCTCCTGCCATCCCCAGGATCCTTCTCGAAATTACACCTCAGTCCCATCAAGGCTGCTCCAGCTAAGCTATTCAGTACTGTAAAAGCCCATGAAAGCTATTATGTCCCACCATCAAAACCAATTCTGTCCCCTGAAATCGAATCAGCCCTCTCACTACCTCTCTCAATCAATGTTGTCCTTGTTAAATGGGTAAATGAATGGATGCAGGCATAAAGAGAGGCTGCACATAAAACAAACAGGCAGGGGAGTGAATGAATGGAAATAACATGACATTACCTACTGTAGCACAGTTAGATGTGTTTATCATATTGCTGCATGTAAGAGGCACTTCCTTTAGCTATTCAGCTCACCACTGTACCCTGTTCTCTTTGTGTTCATTGCTTCCTGGAAAAATAAAAGAGCAGTAACTCACAGGGCAGCTACAAATATTTTCTAATAAAATCCCCCATTGGCTGTCATAGTAAGTTACATGATATTCATGGGCAGAGCTGCCAACATGGGGGCAATCTAACCTTTAGATAGGCTACCAGAATAATTTGTCAAAATAATTACTGTATATGTGGAAACCTTATATAGTAATTACAGTAAATGACCTTGTTATTTTTATATTGCTAATTTTCCTTGACTTAGTTGATCAAAACAACTTTACTACAAAAATGGGGGTCATCATGTCCCAGGCATGAGCAAGACACACAACGAGTCTGTTCATGGCATGCAGAGAGATTTGTTTTGTGCTTTATAAGCAAATGTTTCTGACATGGAAAAATGGGTCAAAGCTGTGATATACTGTATGCAACCTCACGTCTGATTTGTTTAGGGGGTTTATACATGAGAGTTTTTCTCTTTTCTGCATTTTTTTTAACTGTATGTGAATATTATGCTTTGCATTTATGTGATAATTTACCAGGTGCTGTACAACTGAAAATTATTGATACAAAATATAATGTAATATAAATGAATTATGATGTGTTATTACCGGTATTGGTTAGAATAAGATCAAACTTTATTGATCCTTATCCATCCTGATATATATCTGAAATGTAACACTTTATGCAATACATCTATACTTTAACTTTTCTGAAAAATTCTGGATGAAGGAGTTTTATTTCTATTTCTATACTGCAGCACTGCTACATTTATGTACTTCTCCCACCACTGCCTCTGTCACTCAGATGAAACAGCATAACTCATGTCACCTGACAGTAGACAGGAAACTGAGGAGCTGAAGTCAGGGATCGTCTTCAGCATGCATTCACTTCAACTGCACATTTCTTACTTACATTTTGTTACTGCTAAAAGCCATTTATTTCCATTCAGCAAACCCTTGTGGTGTTTTGAGCACCTTTAATGTAAATACTAAAGTAAATACATAACAAAGAGTCTTATAAGTAGTACAAGTACAGAAAAAAAACAATGACATACAAACTCATATATCAGCCAAAAGAAAACATGCACATAAGAAGGTCAGAAATATGGTCGTGTGATTACATATACCTAACCTAACTTATGTAAGGCTGATATATGAGTTTGTATGTAACTACTACTTATATAAGACTCTTTGTTATGTATTTTAACAGACCCTGACAAAGGCTCCATGCCGAAATGCATTGGTCTTTGGGCTTTACATTAAAGGTGCTCAAAACACAACAAATGTAGCCAGATGTTTGGCTATCTAGTTTGTTTTTTCCTTGTTTGTGCATTCATGAATCCTTGGCTAATATTCGCTGGCACATTATAATTCTCCATGTGGGTCCTGATGATGCAGGATGACATTAAGACATATAAATGCCTCTTAGTTCATTTGTAAAAAGTCAGTGTGAACACAAACTTGACTTGAAATAAAAGGCAACAATGTTTTTTTCTCCCTTGGTCTGGACCAAATTAACTGACAGGTGTGAAAGTAACTTACCACATAAGAGAAAAATAAATCATGCTTTAGAACATTTCTAATGATTTCTGTTGTACACTGTCAGGATGCTGGAGCTGTACACCAACTGAACAACTCATGTGGCACTGTATACATGTCTGAAAACACGACCATGTTTTGAAGTAATTTTATGTACTGCATTTGTTACAAGAATTGTGTATGAAATAATGTTTGGACCTAATGATTTTAATCATGTAATGTTATTTACCCTCATATTTAAGCCATTTTTATAGTATGAATTCAAATACTCTGGTAAAATCCCCCATTAGATGTTACAGGTTAGTAGTTACCTTAATATGTAAACATTTATCATATGCCAAAAGATTGGTGTTCTGCAGTAAAAGCAGATAAATGACCAGGAATTATGTGTGACAAGTGGAGCAAACAAACATATGTTCAACAGCAGCAATGTTTTCCACAACCAATCACTGAGAGGTTGAAAAGAGTCTTATAAGCAGATGGCGATTGTATTATGTTGTGTAGCTATATACTGGTGGATAAGAGGACAGAACAGGATGATAAGCTCAAGGACAGTAGATGAAATCAATTCATTACATCTATCCGTTTAGAGGAACTTAGCCCAGCGCACACATCAGATGCAAAATTGAATCCTGTCAGACATTAATTTCTTTCCAACGGCGCTTCCATCTTCGTTATATTTAGTGCATTTACAGTCAATTACAGTATGTATTCATGTCATACATGACATTGAAATAACAACAAAGGCAAAGGAATATGCTGTGAAGAAATCAGTGTGGCGATTATTTCCTAGTGTTTGAAAATCACAGGCAGCACTGCAATTGGAGCCAGGATTTTGCTCTCAGAGGGACGGCAGTCTTTCTTTGTCCATATACATCACCACATGTGGAGGCAAGCCATTACAGCAGTTACCACAAGCTGTTTCCACACACACTGATGCCGTCTTCAGCGCTTTGCTGTATAAATTATACATCCTCTGTATCAAATAGAACAGATTTCTTATCTCTCTCTCTTTTTTCTTTTGCAAGGAACAGTTTATTATGACACCCTGCAGGTAATTATCATTCTCATCTTTAGGGAAACTGTTGGATTTTCAAAGAATGTAAGTACTTTGTCTGACCTGGTGCAACCTGTGCCTTGTCGACACGTACTATATCTGCAGGAGAGCTATTTTCAAAAGAACATTGCTGGTGCCCATCTACACTCTGTGCTGTGACTGGCAAACTTTGGAGCACATTTTCTCTGGTGAGCAGGCATTAATGAGAAAATAAGTCACATTTTACATGAACTGCTCATCATGCATTATCTTTTCACTACCACTGTTAAGATATGACTATTTTACTAACTATGCCATTTAGAATTTTAATATACAGAGTGTCTACAAATGGTGAGGGTAAATAATGGCTACTATTAACTGTAATGCAACTTTGACAAAACAGTAATCATTAAATCTACTTTTAAACTACCCTGTGAACTGGAAGGAAGATCATTTGGAGGTTTTATTACAGCGGGAGCCAAGAAAATAATGCTCAAATAATGGTCACTTTCTTCTCATTTTATCATTTTACACTAAATGATAGCATAAATTAAATTAAGGAATTGCATACTTCTTAGTGGTTTAGAGATTTAGCAACTTTCATTATACCAACTTGTAAAAGTCAAACATGCAGGGTGGTCAAGTTATGAACAGAGTACAGTCATTAGCTCCTTAATATGTACCGATCAGCCATAACATGACCACTGACAGGTGCAGTAAATAACACTGATTATCTCGTTACAATGGCACCTGTCAGTGTGGGGGTATATTAGACAGCAAGTGAACATTCAGTCCTCGAAGCTAATGTGTTAGAAGCAGGAAAAACAGACAAGCTTAAGCATCTCAGTGATTTTGACAAGAGCTAAACTGTGATGGCTAATGACTGGGTCAGATCATCTCCCACACTGCAGGTCTTGGTGGGATTTTCTGGTCTGCAGTGGTTAGTACCTACCAACAGTGTCTAAGGAAGGACAAACAGAGTCGTAGGTGCCCAAGGCTCACTGGTGATGAAGTTGACCTACTGTAGATTAAATTTTTAAATTCCATTAGTACTTTTCAAGACATTAACAGTTGTTGAGAAATACTGTACATTGGTTTCTATGAAGAGAAACATTCAGAGGCTATAGTGGTGATATGGGAGGCTGCTGAATATGCCTAAACAATTCTTTCTAACTTATCCTCATGACCAGTTTTCACTCCTTTTACATGTTTTTCACTGAATTGTAGACACATCCCTGCTCTTCCTGACAGTATATCCATGGAAGCCAACCAACTGCCACATTGACTCCTGTGTACACAGTATTAGG